GGCTGTATTGCAGTGAGGTTTTTGTGTATAAATTATATTTTTGGCTTCAACTTGTACATCCGCTGCATCCAGGGCCATCTCCAGTCATCCTAATCTATGTCTTGCCACTGGACCCAGATAGCTCTAGAGGAGAGAGTGGATCTGGTGCCTTTGCACAGCCCTGTCTCACTTAAATCCAATTCATTTGCAAGTCATGCCATCACCTTCCCTATGTCATGGTCCTCTTCGAGAACAAAGACCAAAGAATAACAACAACAAGGTATATCCATATGGTCAAGTAGTGGAAAGAGCACTGACTTTGAAGATGGAAGACCCTATGTCTTCCAAATGCAGACCCTAGTATTAACCATGGGTAAAGAATCAATCAACAAACCTAGTATATATCAGGCACTCTGCTATGTGCTAAAGATAAAAAATGAATCAGCTTCTTTCTGCCCTCAAAGAGAATTACATTGGTTAGTGGTACAGTGGTTAGAGCTCTGAGTCTGGAGTCAAGACGACCTACTCCAACTTTGACCTCAGACACTTATTAGCTCTATGACTCTGGGCAAGTCACTTAACTTCCATCCTCAGTTTCCTCATCTGTAAAGTGGGAATAACAATGTCTTCTTCAGAGTTATTATGAGGACAAAATGAAATAATATTTGTAAAGCATTTTGCAAACCTTTAAGTGTTATAATGCAGGTTACCATCATCATCATCATCATCATCATCATTATTATTGAGGGAAACAATATTCACATATACAGGCGTATACAAAGCACTTACAGAACAGAAAGGAAGTAACCCTTGTGGAAGCAAGGATTATGAAGACATACAGAAGGTAGTGTTTGAGCTGAATTCTGAAAAAAAGCTAGAGATTCCAAAAGTCAGAGATGAAGATGGGAAATGTTACCAATATTGATGGCCAGTATAATGGCATGGAGACAAAAGATCAGAATGTCGTATATGAGGAACAAGAAAAATGCTAGTGTGCTTCAGTATGCTGAAGGGAATGATGTGGAATGAGACTGAAAAGGCAGGATGGAGCCAAGTTGTTAAGATCTTTAAATGTCAAGTGAAAGAGCCTACATATAATAAACATTGGGATTCATTGGGGGAGGGGTGACATAGGCCCATGCTTTCAGGAAAATCATTTTGGCACTTGTGTGGAAGATGGATTGGAGTGGAGAAAGACCAAGCTTAAGGATACTTCCAAAAGTCTAGGCAGGAGGTGATGAGGACCTGAACAACGAGAAGGTGATGAGGGGTTGTGTGTGTAAAGTAAAAGGGATAGATGCTAGACACGTACATTTAGAAAAGATAAGATTTGGCAACTGATTAAATGTGTTGAGTGGGGGGAGGAAGGAGGCAAAAATGACACTTAGGATACAAACATAAGTAAATGGAAGGATGGTGGCGCTTTCTAAATAAATGAGAAAGAGAGTTAGGTATAAGGAGGAATGATAATGAGTTTGGTTTGGAATATGTTGAGTCTGAGATACTTGTGGAATATTCAGTTCAAAATGTCCACTAAGTAGTTGATAATACAGAATTTCAGTTCAAGAAAGTGAGTAGAGCTGGATATATAGATCTGGGCACTATCTGATTAGAGATGATATTGATTACCACCAGCCTGTGGGAGCTGATGAGGTCACTAAGTGAGAGGAACGAAGGAAAGTCACTTCCCCTTTCTGGGACACAGTTTCTCCATCTATAAAAATGAATGTGCCATGCTAGGTAATTCTTTCCAGCTTTAAAACTTATGATCCTATAACCATCTTGTCTTCTGAACTTCTATTTTTGTTGTTCAGTTGTTTTTCAGTTGTGTCTGACTCTTTATGACCCCATTTGTGGTTTTCTTGGAAGAGAAACTGAAGTGGTTTGCCATTTCCTTCTCCAGCTTATTTTATAGATGAAGAACTGAGGAAAACAGGGTTATGTTATTTGTCCAGGATCACACAGCTAGTAAGTGTCAGAGACTGGAGCTGAACTTAGAAAAGAAGAGGGTTTTTTTGTTTGTTTGTTTGTTTTTAGCAAATATTGTGCTTTGATCTGCATTCAAACTCCATAGTTCCTTCTTGGGATGTGGATAGCATTTTCCATCATGAGGCTTTTGGAGATGTCTTAGATCCTTGTGTTGCTGAGAGGTGTTAAGTCTATCAAGGTCAGTCGTTACTCAATGTAGCTGTTACTGTGTACAACGTTCTCCTGGTTCTGCTCACTTCACTCAGCATCAGACCATACAAGTCTTTCCAGGTTTATCTGAATGTTGATCATTTCTTATAGCACAATAGTATTCCATTACATTCATATATCACATTCAGCATTATGATAACTGTGTCTTTCTCTCCATCCTTCCCCCCACCCCCCACCCTTCGGTTTATGCTTTTCTTTCTCCTTTCTCCTTTTCCTTCCTCACTAATGTTTTGCTTTTGACCACAGCCTCCGTCAGTCCCACCTCCCTTCTATTAGCCCACTCCCTTTTCTTTCGCCCTTTTCCCTCCTACTGCCTATACCGGCATGTCAGATTTCTATACCTAACCGATTATGTTATTCCCTTCTTAAGCCAAATCTTATGAGAGTAAGGTTCAAACAATGCTCATCTCCCTCCCTTCTTTCCCTCTGCTGTAATAGGTTTTTGTGCCTTTTCTTGTGATGCAATTTATCCTTGTCTGCCTCCTCCTTTTGTCTGGTACATTTTCTTAGATCAGATTAATTCACTTACTTGGTTCCATTTAACCCACTTGATTAGATTTTTTTCATCATTACATCAAAGTCAATTTATACCCACCCTCTTTATGTATACCCTTTAACATAGTGTAATAACAATACAGTTCTCAAGAGTCACAAGTGTCATCTTCCCTTGTAGGGATGTAAAGAATTTGCCCTTATTAGTAATATGTTGTTTCTTCCTGTCCTGTTTACCTTTTTATGTCTCTCTTAAGTCTTATATTTGAAGATCAAATTTTCTGTTGAGCTCTGGTCTTTTTATCAGGACGGTATGGAAGTCCCCTATTTCATTGAATATCCATCTCCTCCCCTGAAAGATCATGCTCATTTTTGCTGGGTAGTTGATCCTTGGTTGTAATCCAAGATCCTTTGTCTTATGGAATTTCATATTCCATGCACTACAGTCTTTTAATGTGGAAGCTGCAAGGTCCTGTGTAATCCTGTCTGTGGTTCCATGATATTTAAATTGTTTCTTTCTGGATGCTTACAGTATTTTCTCTTTGACCTGGTAATTTTGAAATTTGACTACTCTATTCCTTGGCATTTTCAATTTGGGGTCTCTTTCAGGAGGTGAACAGTGAATTCTTTCTATGGCTATTTTACCCTCTGGTTCTAGGACCTCAGGGCAGTTTTCCTTTATGATTTCCTGAAAGATGCTGTCCAGGCTTTTTTTTTTCATTGTGACTTTCAGGTAGACCAATAATTAAAAAATTTCTCTCCTGGATCGATTTTCCAGGTCAGTTGTTTTACCAATGAGGTATTTTACATTTTCATCTATTTTTTCATTTTTTTTTTGTTTCTGTTTGACTGATTCTTGCTCTCTCATAGAGCCATTAGCTTCCAAAGAAGAGTTTTTGGGAAGCTAGGTGGCACAGTGGATAGAGCTCTGGCCTTGGAGTCAGGAGGACATGAGTTCAAATCTGGCCTCAAACACATGACACTTCCTAGCTGTGTGACCCAAGGCAAGTCACTTAACCCTGATTGCCTCACCAAAAAAATAAAACAAAACAAAACCAAAGAAGACTTTTGTTGAATCTAGGCCCAGCACTCTACCCACTACACCACCTAGCTGCCCTTTGAATCCCTATGGCTTATTAGATATCCTTGTTTGGACCCATGGGTTATGTTGGGATGTTTGTATTTTGAAAATTTTGTTGATAGCTTTTATCCTATACACCAGTGCTGTAGGCTTCCCATGAGTCATGAGCTTGATACCTCTGCTTTAGATCGCAGTCATTTTCCAATATGATTCCTCTGCCATTGAACGTTTACTTTTGAACTTTTGCTTTAATAAAACTCACTGATAAAGTGATGGGGTCTAATAGTATGGAACATTTCTCACCTCTGATCATTCCTATCCCACTCCACTGAGGGAAGTGTCTTTCATCATCTGTTTTTCAGGACCCAGACTGGTTATAAATCATAGTCTGACTACCTTTTAGGATTTTTTCCCCTTTATACTTATATTTCATTTACTTTATTATACTGATTGAATTGGTTTTTTTCTTGGTTCTATTTTGTTTATTCTCTTTCTTTTCTCTCTATCAATTCATGTGTCTTCCCATATTTCTCATACTCATTATTTCTTATGGCACAATAACCTTCCATTAATATTCTTTACCACAGTTTTTCAGCCATTTCCCAAGTGATGGACATCTACTTTGTTTAGAGTTTTTTACTCCAATAAAAGTGCTGCTATGAACATTTCAGTATATGATATATTTTAAAAATGAATTTTCTATTATAAGTCTTTACTCAGTGGGTGATAAATGAGTGACTAAAGTAGGATGTGAGTTTGAAATCAAATAAAAACAACAGTGGGCACCACAGCGGGTACCTATGTGTCTTAAAACTTGACTGATCAAGAAATTCATAAGCTTAGAACAAGTCTACAAGACCACAAGGATACAGGTACTTCATTCCACAACCACCCTGACTAATCAAGATTATACAATTTGGGGCACAAAGTTTCCAGCTAGGACTGCCCCTTTGCTGCCCCTGATCATGAACTTCATCCCCTGAATGAGCTTACTGAGGCATTTTTACAAAGCTGATTTGGTTCCAGGGGATATTTTTGTTTTTCTTTGTTCCTAAGTATATCACACAGAGAATCAAATTAAGCTGATTTAAGAGACAGGTGAAGAACGCAGGTGTTGGGCACTTCATGATGCATCTCCATGGAAACAGAGCCAACTGGCTTTCTTGTCATGCTTCCAGCTGGGAAAGGTCTCAAGGCAATTATGACTTCATGGTGGAATCTTCTTATAGTGGGGTAGAAGGCAGTGGGCTTGATGGGGAGAGGGTGGGGGGAGGAGGAAGAGGAGGAAAAAGGAAGAAGAAAGCTATCTCCATGGGCATACTTTGCATTGTCTTTGTGGCTATAGTTTAAGTGATGAGACTGATTCATGCAATGAGTAGGCCCCCAGTGAACAAAACATTGAAACACCAGAGATGGTTTTTAGAATTTTAGATATCTTTTCTCCTGTTGGAACTGGACTTCTTTAGGGGTGCTGGACACCCTGGTCTTGCTTGGTGAATTAATTGATGGAGATGGAGATAAGACAGATTCGGCACCAGCACCCTCTGTGGCTAATGACTCCCTTGTGTACTGAAGCCAAGGACCATCAAGGAAAAGACTGGACACATGGAAATTGCCTTAGACCACAGTGAGCATTATCTCTATTGCTAACATCCACAAGATGGAAAAAATGGTAAGGCCTTTCAAGGATACTAGAACAAGTGAATACGTTGTCATAGCAATTAAAAATGGCACTTCCAAATTAGCGACAACATAGAATACTGAGAAGCTCAGATTGGGTACCTGTCCTGACTTTGTCATTGACATGTTTTATAAAGTGAAGCAAATAATTTCAGCTATCTGAGCCTCATTTTCTTCATCTGTAAGATGGGGAAGTTAGAGTACAATCATAGATCTAGAGCTTAAGTGCAAATATGCTAGTGTTCTGTATGTAAATATGGCTGGGCACTATGCTATATACAGTGGATGCAAAATGTATTTCTAACCCTGAAAAATGAGAAACAATTGTATAAGGTCTTAGCAATGAAGAATGTCAAAGGAAAACCTATGAAAAGTATAAATTATATTTTTCTACTCCTAGAGAGAAAACTGATCAGAGTAAGATTAATTACTTTTTTTCTCTGCATGACAAACTTCTTCAGAGAGCTCAGGCCCCTGACTGCAAAAGAGACTTCCTAAACTACCTGAGGCACCCACTTTGATGGGATAAGCAAGCTTTTTGTGAGCCAGGTATTATCTCTGCTCTTTGGAAGCCTTGGTAAGACTGTTCTAGTTTTGATGAGAATGGGGCTAACCAGAAGGCCTTTCCAGATTTGTAAAGACAACCTACATTATGAAAAACTGCTGGCTGCTGGTGTTCCTTTGTGTTCTCTTGCTGTCCTTGCACTGTCCAGTCATAATGACATAGATTACATCCTCAGGGGGCTTCCTATTTAATAGAACCAAAAGCGGCTCATTCATTTATTCCACAAACACTAAGTGCCTACTGTTTGCAAGAGACAATGCTACCTAGGACTACAAGGAAACAGAACCCATGCAAAGGAGACAAACGGGCAAAATGGGATAAGAAGTTTAAGAGGATAGAGATCACTTTTGCCTGAAAGATGAAATAATAATCACCATACTATACATTCATTTTGTTCTTTAGTCATTTTTCAGTCACATCAGACTCTTTGTGACCCCACTTAGGGTTTTCTTGATAAAGATACTAGAGTAGTTTGCCATCTCCTTCTTCAGTTCATTTTATAGATGAAGAAATTGAGGCAAACAGGGCTAAATGACTTACTCAGCATCACAGAGCTGGAAAGTGTCTGAAGCCAGATTTGAACTTGGGAAGTTGAATCTTCTTGACTCTAGGCTTGGCACTCCATCCACTACACCACCTAGCTGCTCAAAAAAATTTTATAAAACATTTTAATGTTTCCAAAGCACTTCACATGCATTTGATCCTCACAGCTCCTCTGTGAGGTAGATGTTACTATTATACTCATTTTACTGAAGAAAACTGAGGCTCACATACATTAAATGACTTGTCGAAAGTTAAGTGTCTGAAGTAAGATTCTAACCCAGGTTTCTCTGACTCTAGCACTCAACTAATCATTCTGTGCTCCCTCACTTCAAGATGGTGACCTTAATTGGACCTTAAACAAAGTGAAGGACTTTTCAAAGAATATGTCACTTCCCTTAAAATGAAAACTTAAGCACCATTTTGCACGTGAAGTCTGTCCTGACCTCCCCAATTTCTAGCACCTTCCATCCCAAAATACTTTGTATTTAACTACTTTACATTTGTTTATGTTTATTTGCTTTATGTTTATGCTTCATAGTGTTATATATATGTATATATATACACACACACACATGTGTGTATGTGTGTAGTATATATACGTGTATATGTATGTATGTATGTATATATGTATATATGCATATATACGTATATACATATACATTTATTTTCTCCTGTTAGAATGTAATCTCCTTGAGATTGGGAATTGTTTCATTCTTTGTATCTCAAGCAAGCATAGATCCTGGCACACACTAGGTGCTTAATAAATATTTACTGACTGATTGATTAATGAAGGCAGGAGAAGTCAATTCCAGGCATTAGAGATGATGTGATAGAAGAGAGTGTGACAAGCATGGAGGCTGAATAAGTAAATACTCTAGTCTTCCTGGAGTTGGAGGACAGGCAATTTTAGGGGAAAGATGATGAGTTCATTTGAAGGAAGTCAGTTCATGATTGTGGAAGGTCAAAAGATATTTTCTCTCTCTATTCCAGACTTTAAAGAAGAAAAATAAGATCAAGGAAAAATCTACCTCTATGATCCCCTACAGGAAGTCATTTTTGTCCCTTTTTCAGTTCTCTGAGGATGCCCCTAATACCAGGGTTGTTTTCAGCACCAGTACATCATCCACACCAAATATAGTCACGCCTTTGGACTGCTTACCATACTTTAGAACATATGAAGGGACCTTTGATGAACCATCAACTTTGAATTTGGGGTTCTGCCTCCAGAAAGAAGAAATCAATGTTAGGCACAAGGAGGACCAGAAAGACTTGGTTCCCTCTGGTGGATTCTTTCCATATTATCGATCTCAGGATGAATTCTTAGTCAAACCACTTCTACGGAGCAGGTTATGTAAAGCCCACAGGACAAACTCCAGAAATGAGGAAAAAGGAGGAGATTCTAATAGGGAGCTTGCCATTCACAACTATACAGTAAGTTCTATTTAGAATCCCTCCCTCTCCTTTGGCAAGGAGAGGAACTTGGGAGACTTGTTTATGCCTTTGCCCGTGAGGTCTGTCCAACTGTTTACTAGCAAAATGGTGAAAAGGAAAAAGGATTGTTCCTGCAAACTGCTTTGGTGGAGCCAAATTCTGGGGTCTTTGGCTCTGCTGCTGAATGTAATGCAGAAAGCAGAAAAAGATTACTGGCTCCTAATCCCATGGCCTTGGCCTAATCAGTCTCTGTATCTGTTTCCTTGTCTGTCAGATGAAGATAATACTACCTGGTCTGCCTACCTCACAGGGCTGCTGTGAGAAACAGATAATAACACAACATTTTAATATCACTTTAAGAACTTTACCTCCATTATCTCATTTGACACTCATGACAGCTTTGTGGACTAAGTCCTGGAAGTATTATCTTCATTCTACAAATTAGGAAACAGGAAACTTCTTTCAGAGAAGTGAAGTGACTTGCCCCATGGTCACACAACTAGTGAGTATCAGGGTCAAGATTTTAATCCAGATCTTTCTTGACCCCAGGTCTAATGTCCTTTCCACTATATCTTTGTCTCATTCTAACAAAATGATTTGAATGTGAAAGGGCTTTAAATATCAATTTATCAATCATCTATCAATTGATAGATGTATCAGAAAGTGCTTTAAATCTCTATATGTAGGCATATACATGTATATACACACCTATATAAATATGTATATCCTATAGCTATGTATATGCATATCTATATGTAGCTATGCATATTCTATAGTTATGTATGCACCTATCTGTTTGTGCACATTTAAAGCACTTTTGTGTTCATATTGATATAGATATCTAAAACATTTTCACATATCAAGATCCTATCTGGATCAGGTATGTAGTAAAAGGGGATTGGACCTAGGGTCAAGAGGAACCTAAATTTAAAACTGCCCCTGACACATAATAGCTGTGTGATCATGGAACAAGTGCTTTATCTATCTATCTATCTATCTATCTATCTATCTATCTATCTATCTATCTTTCTAAGTGCTTTAAATAATTATATTTATGTGAAGGTGCTTTTATTTATTTATGTTAAATATACATATAGATAGATATCTTTATATACACCTAGAGGTAGAGGTATTTATTTTTACCTATATTATATCTATAATTAAATCTCTCTATCTAAAGTGTCATTAAATACAAAAAAAAATAGTGACATGATTATTATGCTCATATTACAATTTGTCCAGGAACCTAGGGCAATGCACATCTTCTCTCCAAGCCTGGATTTTCATATCTATAAAATTAACACCTTCAATTAGCTGTTCCTTAATGTCTTTTCCAGCACTGAATCTTATTTTTCTCTTTTAACCTGCAATGTCATACTTCCCTTTCAGGCCTCCTTGCTAGGTCTTAAACCAAATTTTGATCTCCAGTCCTTGCCCAAGAACTCTCCTCGTTGTAGGCCCCTTGTGTTCTCCAGTGAAACCTCTGAAGAAAGCCAATTGGACGTCCCTTTGTTCAATGATGATGCCACATGCTCTGCAGGGTTCGTTTCCTATTATAGGAGTGAAGAGCCTCTCCAGGTCAGCCCCATCCCAATAATTCTTTCTTCAGTTCCCAGAGGCCATGAGTGGGATGGAACTGAGGTAAAGAAAAGGAACTGGATCATACCGACTTACTTTGGGGTAAGTCAGAAACACAGCAAATCTTAGAGAATTCAGATTTGCTTCTGACGAGATCAGAACAGATTCCAGCAACGTGGCTATTCCTCCTATAACAGCAGCTATATCAGCGTGTAGCAAGAGCAAATAGCAGAGTGAAAGCCGTGAAACATCTGGAGAGGAAGCACAGGGAGGGAGTTTTGTCCATCTGTGTTTCAATATTGAGAAAAGAGAAGGAACTTGATCTGAGGCTTATGAACATGAAAGAGAAGGGGGAAGAAATGCCTGCATTAAATCTTTTTATGCCAAAGTGCACCATTGTTCAACTCCAGAGAGGAATTGAGAGCTGGCTCCAGGAGTTTAGCCACACATTCAAGCTAAAAAAAATTAAAAAACAGACGTTACTAAATAGCAGATCTTCATTATCTCTTTCTATCCTCTTCCTTGTCTCCCTTTACCTCATACTTCAGTGACTAGTGAATGACCAGACATTGGGCAGGAGGATCTCTAAGCACCAAACCATCTGGTAGAGAATTAGACTTAGATCTTCCATATCTGAAAGAATGTGCTTTGGGATCACGGTGCCTTTCATTGCTCACTGATTTGATAGTCACATCCCCTTACACCACTATTACACCCTTGAATTGAATTGTGACCTTTAATTCCAGCTTCTTCCCTATATGGTAGCAGCGAGAGCCCACCTGGGAGAGACCCTTAAGTCTATTTCCAGTGCCACTCTGAATGCCTTTGGATTGAGAAGATGCCAGATCACAGCCCATATCTAAAAAACATGAAGGTAATCCAAGCATAAACAAGAAGATCAATACCATAAAGTTAATTTCTCTGATTTGCTATTAGTTTAACCCTTAAATAAAGAGTCACTTGGGTCCATAGTGATTACTAGATCTTACCCTGGCCTTTCACTGGGGATTTGGATGAGATTGAATGCCTTTAAAAATTTTTTTTAAATGAAAAAAAAAATAAAGGTAGTACCAGGACTGAAAAGCATTTGGAGCTGCGTTATTTTTGTAAATAAACAATCATGTCAACACAAAGGTCAGCCTGAGTCAATTTCTTTCACTACATAGCTTGAAATTTGTATTACAAACTTCAGCTGTCCTGTAGCTGCACATGTGGTTGGCCCTCTCCATCTGACCTGTCTTTCCCCAACTTTTCACTTTTCACTTTTATTCACTCACCATTTTTCCTTCTGAAGGAATATAGGGGAGAATATGACTATGAATATATCTGCTAGGAAGCATCCGTTGATTTTCTTTCTTCAACTAATGTTTTATCAATGGCCTTCTTAACGTGCCTTTTTTTTTTTAATGTTCCCCCTGGGTACACCGTCAAGTTTTAAATGTGTGACATTGCCTTGCAAGGGCTGCACCATCTCTTGCTAGAAAATAACAAATAGCTATTCATATCAATTCTAGTTGATAGAAGTAGACATGAAACTTCTTGACCCTGTGTATTATACATATTAAAACTGAGTGCCTCCCCCCCAAAAAAAAACCATACACACAAAAACCACCAACAAAAAAAAAGATTCCTTGGAGAAAAATCAAATACATATTTTCAGTATTCAGTGTGAAAATATTTTGTTTGGGCCACATTTTACAGCATCCTGTCTTTGCTTTGCATGCCTGGTTGCTTTGATATGCACCTGTCTCTTTAATGATACTTCTTCTCTGGCATCAAGAGAAGACTGTTTATTGAGAAGTTTCTGACTGCTTGCATTTTTTTTATCCTGAGGCACACTGTGAGGGGAAGAGATGGAGGAGGAGGAATCTGGACTCACTTAGGCTATGGAGAAGGTATTTCTTCCTCTTCCCTCCTACCCCTAATCAACTTTTGAACTCATCTGAGACATATTTGTATATATAACTTCCTTTGAATTTTTAATCTGTGAGTAGAGCAAGAGATGTGGAATAATTCTCCTTTCGGACACTGTTTGCCAAGTCAGTAGGGGGCCGCTCCTTCCACTCTTACTAGCCTGGCATCTCCCCATGCAAATATGTCCGTATGGGCTCTGGGAACAACTTCTGCTCCCTTACTCTCACAGACAAAGAGTAGAGGGTGGGAGAGAGGCAAGGCAAATGTGTGCACAGTTGAAGTAACCACAGACACTTTTTGACAACTCCCTTTGTCCAAGGATTCCTTTGTGCAGGTGACCCTGAAAGTACAATACAGGCTAGCAATACCACTATTAGGTTGGTTTGCCAAGGTAATCAGGGAAAAAGGAAGAGGACCTATATGTTCTAAAATGTTTAGAATACCTCTCTTTGTGGTGGTAAAGAACTAGAAATTGGGGGGATGCCCATCAATTGGAGAATGACTAAAAGAATTGTGGTATGTGATTGTGATGGAATACTACTGTGCTGTAAGAAATAATGAGCTGGTTGATTTTTTTTTCTTTTTTCTTTTGATAAAGCAGTGGGATTTGCCCAAGGTCACACAGCCAATGAGTGTTGTATGTCTTAGGCTGGATTTGAACTCAAGTCCTCCTGACTCCAAAGCCAGAGCTCTATCCACTGCGCCACCTAGCTGCCCCAGAAACTTTCTCTCTCTCTCTTTTTTTTGGTGAGGCCGTTGGGGTCAAGTGACTTGCCCAGACTCACACAGCTAGTAAGCATTATGTATCTGAGGCTGGATTTGAACTCAGGTCCTCCTGTCTCCAGGGCTGGTGCTCTATCCGCTGTGCCACCCAGCTGCCCATATTTTTTTCGTTTTAAGCAGTATTTTATTTTTTTCAATTACATGTAAAGACAATTTTTAACATTCATTTTATAAAAAATTTGAGTTCCAAATTTTCTTCCTTTCTCTCTTACCCCTCCCAAAGATGGTAAGCAATTTCATACAGGTTGCGTATGTGCAATCCTGTAAAACATATTTCCATATTAGTCATGTTGTGAAAAAAGAAACAGACCAAAAGAAGAAAACCACACACACACACACACACACACACACACACACACAAAATAAAGTGAAAATAGCATGCTTCAATTTGCATCCAGACTCCATCAGTTCAGGAGGTGGACATCATTTTTCTATCAAGTCCTTTGGAATTGTCTTGGATCATTGTATTGCTAAGAAGAGCAAAGTCAATCATAGCTGATCATCAAACAGTGTTACTGTTACTATGTGCAATTATTTCCTGGTTCTGCTCACTTCACTCAGCATCAGTTCATTTAAGTCTTTCCAGGTTTTTCTGAAGTCTGCCTGCTCATCATTTCTTACAGCACACCACAACTTGTACAGTCATTCCCCAGTTGATGGGCATCCTCTCAATGTCCAATTCTTTGCCACCACGAGAAGAGCCACTATAAATATTTTTGCACATGTAGGTCTTTTTTCCTTTTTTAAAATCTCTTTGAGATACAGACCTAGTAGTGACATTGCTGGATCAAAGAGTATGCACAGTTTGACAGCCTTTTGGGCATAATTCCAAATTGTTCTCCAAAATGATTGGATCAGTTTTCCTACTTGCACAGAATTTCCAATTTGGTGCTTAATTTTAATTTGGGATTTTAAATTTATTCTTTTTTTCTAGGTTTTTTTTTTTACTTGCATACCCAATTCATTAATCTGCTCTTTTACTTTATTGATGTAAGAGTTTAGAAGAAATGGAAAGCAAAGTTTGTCTCTTAATCTTCCTTGTTACCATAGTAACTTTCTATGGTCAGGTTATTATTATTACTTTTTATTTTTTGCTCATCTTTTCCATCCTATTTTGTTGCTTTTAGAGTTGAGCTCTGCTCCAAGGGCAGAAGGAGCACTATCCCAAGTTGCTGGTGCTGGGCACTGCAGGCCTTGGTTGTTTTCCTGGTGTTATGCAGGTGCCACAGGGGGCTCAGCCACTCACCTGGGGCTATGCTAGGGCCTGGGGTGGGCTTGATGCCGGTACCACGGGGGGCCTGATTGCTCTCCTGATGTCGCTGGAACCTGTAAGGGGAGGGGGCAGGTGCTTTGTCAGGACCAACAGAGGGGCTGGGGCTGTGGGTGGGTGAGGCACCCTGGCCTCTCACCTGCTGCTGCACCGCAGTCAAACTGCCTTGGTCACTGACCTGGGCTGGTGCTCGGGGCCTCCCACTGGCTTGCTCAAGAGTGGCACTCGGCTGGCTTTCCAGGACACTGCCTGCCCTGGACTGTTCTCCTCTATCACTTGAATAAGATGGACTTTTCCCATGGACCTTCCAAGTTGTCTTGAGCTAGAAAATTGTTTCACCCTGTCCTTTTTGTTGGTTCTGCTCCAAAATTCATTTTGAGGTGCTATGTGATAATTGTTTGGAGGTGAATCTGGGTGAGTGTGGGTCATTTCCTGCTTACTCCACCATCTAGCTGGTTGATTTTAAAAAAAAACCATAGAATGGCTTGCATGAAGTAATGAAGGGTGAAATGAACCAAGAGAACATGGTATATACAGTAACAGCAATATTGTTTGGAGAGCAAATGTGGATGACAGATAGTCTGATATTCAAATCAACTGCAAAGGACCTATGAAAGAAGATGCTATCCAGCTCCAGAGAAAGAACTGATAAATAGAAGTATGTATAGTATGGTTTTACACACACACACACACACACACACACACACACACACACACACACACCCTACTATACATATAAATATACTATATGTAGTATATATTCTGCTATATATATATACACATGTGTGTGTATATATATATGCATATATATGTATATATCGTGTGTGTGTGTGTGTGTGTGTGTGTGTGTGTGTGTGTGTGTGTGTGTGTGAGAGAGAGAGAGAGAGAGAGAGAGAGAGTGAAATGGTGGCTTTCTCTAGTGAAGGATAGGGAGGAGGGGAGGGAGACAATTTGGACCTTAAAATGTAACAAAAAGCTAAATTAATTCTTTTTTCAAAGTACAATACAGGGAGATCATGACCTGCCCAGAAAGTACAAATCATACCTCAATCCCTTGTATTTGACATTTGCTTCACAGGTAGGATTTCCCTCACATGCTGTCATTTGACCCTCCTGACAACATTGTTAAGGCTGGCAAAACAGGATTTAGTATCTCCACTTGACAGATGAAGCCACTGAAGCTCAGAGAACTTAAACAACTTGCCCAGACAAGTGGTAGAACTGGACTATATTAATAATACCTGACATTTATATACAGTTTGTGTACAGGAGATAATAATCTAAATTTGATTCTCACAAAAGCCCTGTAAGGTAAGTTATATCATTTCCCCCATTTTACAGATAAAGTAGTAAAATCATATATTCTTCATGTATTCCTATAGATACACACTACAGGACATTAAAAAAAAATGTTTCTTATTAAAACACCCTGTACAACAAGGGTCAGTTTGCATTTAGTTTTAGAATTGTAGACTCTCCTTTCAGGTCGTGGCTTCATTGGTATGCATAACGTATACATTCTACATTGAAAGAAGGTATTTGCCAACTAATGCTTATCACAGTGGAACAGGACTCAGGCTTAAACAAAGATACTTACATAGCATATCTGGTTTTAGACTCCAAATGTGAAGGTCCTCCTCTCACCAATAACATTAAAGAAAGTGCCCAGCATTTCCAAAGATCCTTGACACAAAAGGTGACATGATATGATCAAGAATCATGGTCTCTAAAATATGAAAATTCATCACCTAAAGGAGACCCAAAGAGCATTGGAGAGATACGTGATGGTGGTAGGTAGTTTGCTTCTTATTATTTAGGATGATTTGTGCACAAGTAGTATACGACACAGAAAATGATATAATTAGATCAAATCAGGAAAGCAAAGCATAATAGGATGACAGATTAAAATGTTGCACCAGCATCCCTAAAAGTCTTTTTAAAGATATTCAGAGAGGCCTCCATGGAATTGGGTAAGTCCACATTGATAAAATTTATAGAAGGAGAGTATAATGGCCAGGAAGGTACAAAGAGATATTTCGGGCTCGGCAGAAAAAGAGAACTAATGTAGATAATTAGATTTAGTCAAATGCTGCTGATGACTGGAAAAGCTGTTTGTGTCAGGCCATGCAGAAGAGTCAACATCATTGTTGTTCAG